TTCTAACATGTTGCGGCCATATTAGGTCCGGACTGTTGAAGAGCAAGTTAGAGCTGCAGCTGAGCATAAACTTGGGGTTGCTAATCAAAGTATAACTGCAGGCTTTTTTGACAATAATACAAGGTAGGTGTTTGCATAGAGCAATGGTGTCAATTTTCCCCCTAAAAAAACTATTCTTGCTTGCTAGTTACTTTTGTTTCCTGATATATTTAGTTTGATTCCATAACAGTGCTGAAGATCGAAGGGAATATTTGGAATCTCTCCTTAGGGAATGCAAGAAAGAAGAAGCAGCACCTGTTTTAGATGATGATGCTCTAAATTATCTCCTAGCCCGTAGGTATGCTATTAACAAACCACTTAACCTGTTTCGGAGAATATCTTTTCTGCCTTAATGTTCAAGGTTTGAGTGTGTTAATGTTCTTTTGATACTCATGTTTTTAACAGTGAGCCTGAGATTGACATCTTCGAATCAGTTGACAAGGAAAGACGTGACAAAGAGATGGTTTGTCCTTTCCATAGTTATTGAGTTTATCATGTATCTGTAATTTTCAATTTTGTTTCATAATGGATATTATTCTTGCCTACAGGAAGCATGGCAAAAATTGGTTCAAGGGGAAAAACGTGGAGTTATAGAGCCCTTACCAATGCCTTCACGTCTTGTGACAGAGGAAGACTTGAAGCCTTTGTATAATGCTATGATGGCATATGAAGCATCTAATGTAGGAGTGAAGCGTAAAGGAGAGGCCAATTCCCTCGATACACAGCATTATGGAAGGGGTAAACGCGCTCGAGAGGTAAGTTTGGAATATGTTTTGTGCTTTGAAATAGAATTTTGGTTCCTAATAGAGGCTTACAAGTAAAGATTTCGACAACTTATTTGCAGGTCCGCTCTTATAATGACCAATGGACGGAAGAAGAATTTGAAAAGATGTGTCAGGCTGATGATGCCTTCGAATTACCTCAGCCACTAGATGCACCAAAAAGTTCATCTTTGACGAAAGATCCAAGTGATGTCAAGTTTAGTGATATGGCAACTCCAGCCCCATCCATAGACCCAATACCATTAGCTAACGACACCAAAGTTCCTTCTGAAGAAAAACTTCCGCAACTCAAAGAGACACCTCCAACAAAACGAGGGAGAGGAAGGCCAAAGAGGGTAGCTGTAGAAGTCTCTCCAGCAGCAATTTCTCCTTTATCAGCTGCTACCGCAGTGCCTCCTACTGCTGATAAGATTGAAACAGGACCACAAAAAGAAACTGTTTCCATTATTCCAAATGCTGCTTCCGTGTCTGTAGGTAACAGTCCTGCTACCACTAAGGGAACCATTGTGAATGCCCAACATGAAATTGCTGTTGGACCTTCTATTACCTCCCCTGGCACCTATGCTCCCCCTCGAACCCGTGGCCGTAAGGCTAATACTGGAGAAAAACCTCGAGGTAGAACAAGAAAGCAAAAAGCTCTAACATCATCGGCTTTGAGTGCTGAAGTAAATATTTCCACCGGAAGTCAGAATGGATTGGGTTTAGCATCGGAAAACCTTGCAGTTGCTTCTGTTACCCCTGATAAGCCAATTGTTGGTAAAGCAGTTTCGGGTTTGCAAAATGTTGTTGATTTGGGTTCCGTCAGAGCGTCAGGTCCTCAACCACTGGAGACTTCAAAACAAAATTTACCTACTGTAGCTGCGGGTATCAAGCAAGTTCAAAAGGAAATCCCAGAATCAGCTTCCAGTGGGGCCAAATTAGAGGCATCTTCGAGTAGTGCGAAGGAGAACATTATTGTGTCCGCTGCACTTACTTCAGGTGTAGTTCCACATGATCTACAAGAAAAGAAAACACATGTTCAATACCAAGATGGTGCAGCTGGTAGTCAAAAGCCCAGTATCGACATTAATTCCTGTGAGATGCAGAAGCCAGGTGGTATACCACATGCTCAGCTTGTCAGATCTTCTGAATCAATCACACCTCAGGAACATGATAAAATTATTAAAGCACCGGAATTAACAAATGAGAAAATGATTGAGACAGTACCGATTGCAATCACCACTGGTCATGTACAGTGCTCCCCGGCAAATGATGGCAATGCAATACCTGTTGTGATCAAAAGGGAGTCTGATAATAGAGCTTCAGTTACCAGAAAAAAGGCAGCTGCCCGTGAACCAAAGAACCGTAGCAGTTCGAAGCAGGCAGAAGGTTCAAAGAGGAGGGAGACTAGACGAAGAACCAAGGAAATTGCTTTAGCAAGCGAACAGGTGAGTGGAGCTCCTTTGACTGTAGGGGCTGTTATTTCTGAGCCTGATCATAACTTGAAAGAGAAGGTACCCAGTGTTCAGGTCAGTACAAATTTGAAGCAGAGTAGCCAGGAAACTCCAGTTTTACATAGTACAACAACACTGAGTAAGACAGAGGCAGGTTCTGATTTACAAGTGATTGATACTCAAAGAAAGGTGGTTTCTGATGACGAGGAAAAAGCTGCACTAGACCATTCTTGTTCAGGTATTCCAACTACTCGGTCCGACTCTGAGGCTTTGGTTTCTACAAGTGACGAGTTATCTACAGAAAAATATCAGAGCACCGTTGGAAGCAGTGAATTGCCACCGGCTTTTGAAAATCCTAAGATTCTGGTCACTGATGAACCCTCTTTAAGTACTATACAGGAAGAGTCATCTAGAACGAAAACTCAATCAACCATTGGAGGCAAACCAACTTGTTCAACGGAGTTGTCTGGTGGACCTGCTATGAGTAATGCTTGTGAAGATGGAACTTGCCAAGAACCTATTTTGAAGCAAGATGGTAATAGTAATTCAGCAGCTGCAGGAGTTTCTATAAAGCAAGATGATAATTGCGGTGCTTCAACTAGCACAGGAGTATCAATAAAGCGAGATGATAATATAAAAACAACTGGTGGTGAAGTGTCTGTAGCCAGTTCTCTGGCTTTTAGTGTCACTGATAGAGTGTCAGAGAAATTAGAGGAAGTTGATAAGATTTCTGATGAAGATCCAATGGAAACTGAAATAGTCGAGAAAAGTCCCATTCCCACCTGCCAGAATACTGACCATCTTAATGACATTATGGAATGTAATAAATCTAAATCATCTGATATTCAAGTTAATAACAGCAATATGGATAATATTCAGGAAGCTTCTCTTGAAACTAGAAAGATAGCAGGAAGCTCTGATTCAGTTAAGTTATTGGATGTTTCAGCTACCACCAGCCTTCCAGAAAATGTCTGTGAAGCTTCTGACAAGCGTAGTGATAGAGTTTGTAATGTGGATCGAGTTTGTAAATCTTCACTTGTGACCATGGAGGTTGCTGAAGGTCGAACTGAGACTGGTCATCCTGATGCTCCAAGTTTACCTGGTTTTACATCAAAGAAAGATGATGATTCTTTTGTGAGGACTTCCAATGAAGGTGCAACTTCTTCTCATCTGAACCAGGTCGCCTCTTCAAAGATGACCATGGATCTGGATAAGAGTACATCTAGTGCCTCCACCAATTCGGATAAGAAGATTGAGGGACAAGTGGTTGAAGAGCCAATGAGAGATAGTAATGTTCCTGGAACTGCTGAATGCATTGTTGCACTATCCAATTCAGGACCTGTTGCTGTAGCTGGTCAAGAACTGCAGCAAGTTGAAACTGATAAAGCAGAAGGCAGCGTCGATAATAGCTGTAGTAGAGAAGTAAATGATTTGCAATGTCAAGCTTCATCAGATAAAGCAGAGGATGCTGCTTCTAATAGCAGCAGTGAAGAGGTGGAAGATTCAAAATCTCAAGCTCTAGCTGATAAAGTAGAGGATGCCGGTCCTATGATAAGTAGTAACACAAATGATTCAGAGCAGCCTTCGTTAGACGACGCACTTGACCACACCAATGAGGATGATATGCAAGCTAGTCAGAGTGAGATTGCAGAAACTAAAGAATCAAATCCAGCAAAGGACTCGATCAGCCACAGTAATAAGGCTGATGTGCAGCTGGGCTCTGGTAAGAACAATGACACAAAAAAATCCAAGTTGCAGTCTTCATCAAAGGGGACTACTAACAACAATGACATTACTGAAATGAAGGCAGGCCAGGGTGAGAATACTGAATCCCAAGAACCAAAGTTGCTGGCTTCGTCAGAGGTAACCATTGGCAACACTAGCAAGACTGATGAGCAAGCAGGCAATGGGGAAAATGTAGAAACTAATGAATCGAAGTCTGAGGCTTCACCGGTGGAGACTATCAGCCACAATGACATGAATAATACGGAGGTAAGCCCAGGTGAGCAAAGCAGATCTCAAGAATCGAAGTTTCTGGCTTCATCAGAGGCAACTGTTGGCAACACTAGCAAAGATGATTTGGCAATGGGCAAGAGTGAGAATGCTGAAATTAGTGAATCAAAGTCCCAGGTTTCACGAGAGGAGAATATCAACGATAATAACATGACTGATGTGAAGGCAAGCCAAGGTGAGCTTGCTGAATCTCATGAGTTAATAAAGTTACTAGCTTCATCAGCGGTGACTGTTGGCAATGCTACCAAGGCTGATATGCCAATGGGCGAGGGTGAGAATGTGGAAATTGATGAATCAAAGTCTAGGGCTTCGGCAGAGGAGAATATCGGCCACAATGATATGACTGATGTGCAGGCTAGCCAGGGTGAGAATACCGAATCTCATGAATCGAAGTTGCAGGCTTTGTCAGAAAAGGCCATTGGCAACACAGGCCAGGATGAGAAAGCAGAAACTTCTGATTTAAATACGCAGGCTTCACTGGAGGGAACTACTGATCACACTGACAATGCTGATATGGAGACAAGCTGGGGTGAGAATGCCGTAACTAGAGAATCAAAGTTGCAGGATCCATCAGAGGAGATTGTTCGCGACGCTAGCAAGGCTGAGAACAAAGTGGCGCACAAATCAAAGCTGCAGGATGCTTCAGAAGAGGTTATAGACCACGCTAACAAGACTGGTACACAGGTGATCAAGGATGAGGGTGCCAAATGTAAAGAATCAAAGTTGCAGACTTTCTCAGAGGGGACTGCCGGCAATACTAGCCAGGCTTATGAGCAGGCTGAGAACAGCAAAACAAAAGAATCAAAGCCATGGGAATCATTAGATGAGACTATCGGCCAAATTAATGAGGCTGATATGCAAGTGAGCCAGGGTGAGAAGGAAGAAGCTAAAGAATTGAAGTTGCAGGTTTCAGGAGAGGAGACTGCCGAAACTGAAAAATTACAGGCTGCATCAGATGAAACTATCGACAAAACTAACAAGGTTGATACCCAAGCAGGCCAGGGTGAAAATGATGAAGCTAAAGAATCAAATCTTGAGGCTTCAGCAGAGGAGACTCTTCGCGGCAATAACAAGGCTGATGAGGGTGAGAATGCTCAAACTGAGAAATTACAGGTTGCATCAGAGGATACTACTGACAGCGGTAACAAGACTAATGCGCAGGGAGCCGAGGGTGGAAATTCTGCTACGGAAACTGCAAATGTACGGAGTGGAGATTCTACTGCAATTGCTGAACAGTAGAGTAACTTATTGTTACTAGTCTCCATCATCCTCCTGATCGAGAAGAAGGATGTGTTGTATTATGAGATGTGATGTACGTTTATATGCAGGTGTATAGATACAGTTCTATCCTAATCCATTTTAGTTAGGTAGAAATGAACATGACGTTGGATGTGCAGCCAACTAGCCAAGTTATATATCTTAAAATTTAGTGAGGAATTTAAGTCATAAATCTTGTAGAATGTTTTTACCCCCTCTAAACTTTTGGTATTTCTAAGTCATGCTCGCGTATTGTTCCGTAGCGAGGATGTTAATGATCCGCGCGCGACATGCGGTGCTTGTATGTAACCGGGGAGCAGGTATCTTTAACAATAAAAGAAGTCGGTCTTTCTTTTTCTTGGACGTGAAAAGTGAAGGCCTAATGTATTCCTCTATGCTCGCTAGATGGCATCAAATGTTAAGATCTGGTGTAAGCTGAGAAGAATGTACTTCACCTATATACCCTCTGTTGTTTTAGCAGCACTTACATATCCTAAACTTTTTAAAATTTTCACTTATATGTCCTCACTTATTTACAACGATACTTGTATGCCCTAAGGTTTTTAAGACTTGCACTTAAATACCCTGAGGGTATTTAAGTGCAAGTTTTTAAAAACTTTTCGGCATATAAGTGCTGTCAAAAATATAGAGGGTATATAAGTGTAAGTTTTAAAAATTTTAAAGGTACATTACTACTGCAAAAAAAGTAAGGGTATATAAGTGTAAAGTACAGAAAACTATAGGGCATTTAAGGGCAAATAAGCCACAGTGAGACAGTAGGCTACGTAGGCTAAAGAGGCCCGGGTGAAAGAAAGAGCTCTCATATAAAAAATCTTGTCATTAGTATAAGTGGCCCAGTGGTTGGGGCTTGCGGCCTTGGCTCAAAAAGCTAATGATTGATCTGTATTTATGACATGTCTATTCCTAATTTTTAATTATTAAGCATTGATGCACTTAAGCTATTCACCTGGACCTAGGTTGCAAAATGGAAGCCTAAGACCCCAGAGTTTAATTGACTAGTACTGAATAAATAAATAAATAAAAAAATAAAAATAAAAATCTTGTCCTGTTATCCAGTATTTTCACCTTCACTGTTCCCCTTTGAGATCAACCTATCCATTAGTTTTATTTTTAATTAGTTTGCCACTCATAAACTACAACAACAAAAGTAAAAGTGTACAGATTATCAACATATTTTGGTTTAATGACCTCAATTTGATGCAGCTAAAAGAATATAGTGAGATGACTGTTGGTTACAATATGAATGTTATGGAAAAGAAAAATAATCAGTACAGCAGTAGTTTTACTGTTTTAGTCTCCCCTTTCCAATTTGAAATTCTTAAATAGATTAATGAAGATTGAGATCTAAAAATAATATTTTGAACAAGCTAAAGTTGTTCTTTCTTCTAATAAATATTCTCTTTAAAGCATGTTAAAATGGATTTCATTTAGATTCTTGATTCTACTATTCTTCTCCACTGCATGACAAAACTTTGAATGTTATTCTATTTATGGACTTTTGTGTAACACGTGTTACACGATCTTCGAATACAGCCAACCGTTAGTAGTACTGTATGAAAACTATAGGCTGGATAATAAATTGGCTGGCCACTGCCACATCATAAGATTCCTCAGGCTTGAGGTCACCTGTAGTACCCCAGATTTGAAAGACGAATTTACCCATTAATATAATCTAGAATAGTTTTATAATGCATTGAACCACGACTACTGGTGATATGCATGGCATCGCTCTCACTTTCCGGAATAATGTGGGACTACAAATGTCTAAATTATTGACATTTTTCTAACTTTTGGGCCCCATGGAAAATGTGGGTTGCGCATTAAGCTTTTTGTGAGCTCCAAATTCCCCTCCTAAACTTTTGAGAAAATTATCGGAGGACATAGATTAGAAACTAATTGAAACTAATTAACAGTCAAAAGAAAAAAGCAAAAATGGAAACTTATTAAAACATAATTTTGTAGAAATCGACTCTTTCTATCTATCGTCATTGCTCCGCAATTTTTTCCCCCCACCAATCTTGGGAAAAATGTGTACAGGCCCCAAAAGCAGAAACTTCATGTGACGAGGCTCCTTATAGTTTTTCCCATATGAATCAGCCCCTTGATGTGTAACACTTTGTACTACAGCCTTTTTTTAATCAATTATTACATGTCAGCTAAGCTAAAATCCTTAAATTATCCTTATCATCTCTCCTCAATCCCTCAGACCGAGCACTCATATCCCCTCTCTCTCTCTCTTTCTCATCTCCTCTCTCTCTCTCTCTCTCTCTCTCTCTCTCTCTCTCTCTCTCTCTCCCCCCTAAAACTAGAGCTTTCTCAAGCTCAATCACCCTGCGCCCTCGCCCTCCTCTAGTCAGCTTGCCCGCCTCTGCTTAGGGCCCCCAAGGCTCCCCTCGAGTTCGCCGCCGCCTCCCCTCCCCTCCTCCATCCATCCTCATCGCCGTAGATCGCCGCCGCTCTCCCGCTGTAGATCGCCGCCGCAAAGCTTGAGGAAAATGCTCGAAAAGCTCGGGCAATTGAAGACTGTTGAGGAGTGCAGGGAGATGATCCGAAGGTATGATGTTAATGGAGATGGTGTTTTATGCTTTGATGAATTTAAGAAAATGATGCTACGAGAGTAGGTTGGTTTTTGAGATTGATCTTTACTATAAATGATGATGTTGTTGTGCCCCGTTGAGATTTGGACATTACTTTTCCTTTTTTTTATTTGAGATGACTTTGATCAATTGAGGGTTCATGTTGACAATATATCTACGTTTTTAATTTCTCACATGATTGTGGATTTATCCTTATGAGCTTCTGTATTTATAAATTATGACTGATTCTATTGTTAATGTTTTTTAGTCACCAGGCCGAGATGCACAGAACATTAATCCATTAGCTAGAAGAAAAAAAGAAAAAAAAGAAAAAAATGTTTGACCAGCTACAAATAAATGAACGATTTAATTTTAAAAAATAGTCAAAAGTTGTCTCCATTTTTCCACTTTCACGAGACATCCACGCCTTTTTGGAGGAAGCTGAATTTGCAATAAACCTAATGTGTGCAATCTTTTTGTATTTTAATTTCGAACAGATTTTTAAAATAGATCACTTTTAAAACTTAATTAGCAAAATAGGCTGAAAAAAAATTTAATTACAAAAAATTGTTGTAAGCTGGGACGGTAGTTATAAATTGTTGTTATAAATAAGGATACAATCATGTTTTTATAAATCGTTGTTAATTATATTTGATAATAGTTATACCTAATGATATGTTATTTCTAGATGCTATCGTGGTAGTTCTAGTAGCCCTCGAGTTAGTTCTACCTGCTACAATTGTTAATTCTAGCTACTAAGTTAGTTCTAACCGCTACTTGTTATTTTTGCTTCTATCTTAGTTCTAGCTTCTATTACGCTAGTTCTAGCTTGTATACAGCCAGTTCAAACACACACCTTGCTAGTTCTAAACCCAGCCCATGTTTTTTACCTTCACACTTGTTAATTCATGCTTCTACGTTAATTCTAGTTTCTATTACCCTAGTTCTAGCTTGTATACAGCCAGGTCTAGCTCACACCTTAATAGTTCTAAACCCAGCCCATGTTTTTTACATGCACACTTGTTAATTCTAGCTTCTACCTTAGTTCTAGCTTCTATTACCATAGTTCTAGCTTGTATACAGTCAGTTATAGCACACACTTTGCTAGTTCTAAACCCAGCCCGTGTTTTTTACATTCACACTTGTTAATTCATACTTCTACGTTAGTTTTAGCTTCTATTACCCTAGTTCTAGCTTGTATACAGCCAGTTCTAGCCCACACCTTCCTAGTTCTAAACCCAGCCCGTGTTTTTTACATGCACACTTGTTAATTCTAGATTCTACCTTAGTTCTAGCTTCTATTACCCTAGTTCTAACTTGTATACAACCAGTTCTAGCCCACACCTTTCTAGTTATAAACCCAGCCCACGTATTTTACATGCACACTTGTTAATTCTAGCTTCTACCTTAGTTCTAGCTTTTATTACCCTAGTTCTAGCTTGCATACAGCCAGTTCTAGTCCACACATTGCTAGTTCTAAACCTAGCCTTCGTATTTTACCTTCACACTTGTTAATTCTTGCTTCTACGTTAGTTCTAGCTTCTATTACCCTAGTTTTAGCTTGTATACAGCCAGTTCTAGCCCACACCTTGCTAGTTCTAAACACAGCCCGTATTTTTTACATGCACACTTGTTAATTCTAGCTTCTACCTCAGTTCTAGCTTCTATTATCCTAGTTCTAGTTTGTATACAGCTAGTTCTAGCCCACACCTTGCTAGTTCTAAACTCAGCCTTCGTATTTGACCTTCACACTTGTTAATTCTTGCTTTTACGTTAGTTCTAGCTTCTATTACCCTAGTTCTAGCTTGTATACAGCTATTTCTAGCCCACACATTGCTAGTTCTAAACCCAGCCCGCGTTTTTTACATGCACACTTGTTAATTCTAACTTCTACCTTAGTTTTAGCTTCTATTACCCTAGTCCTATCTTGTATACAGTCAGTTCTAACCCACAACTTGCTAGTTCTAAACCCAGTCCGTATTTTTTACATGCACACTTGTTAATTCTTACTTCTACGTTAGTTCTAGCTTCTATTACCCTAGTTCTAGCTTGTATACAACCAGTTCTAGCTCACACATTGCTAGTTCTAAACCCAGCCTTTGTATTTTACCTTCACACTTGTTAATTATTGCTTATACGTTAGTTCTAGCTTCTGTTACCCTAATTCTACCTTGTATACAGCCATTTCTAGCCCACACCTTGTTAGTTCTAAACCCAGCCCGCGTTTTTTACATGCACACTTGTTAATTCTAACTTCTACCTTAGTTCTAGCTTCTATTACCCTAGTCCTAGCTTGTATACAGTCAGTTCTAACCCACAACTTGCTAGTTCTAAACTCAGCCCGTATTTTTTACATGCACACTTGTTAATTCTTGCTTCTACGTTAGTTCTAGCTTCTATTACCCTAGTTCTAGCTTGTATACAACCAGTTCTAGCTTGTATACAACCAGTTCTAGCTCACACATTGCTAGTTCTAAACCCAGCCTTTGTATTTTACCTTCACACTTGTTAATTATTGCTTATACGTTAGTTCTAGCTTCTGTTACCCTAATTCTACCTTGTATACAGCCATTTCTAGCTCACACATTACTAGTTCTAAACCCAGCCCGTGTTTTTTATATGCACACTTGTTAATTCTAGTTAAATGACCTTGAACACACTAGCATGCTTATGATGAACTTTGTGAGAATGAGCATGTGAATGTGTAAGTGTACAAGATGAAGAAGCTATATGAGATGCACAAGGAACATTAGAATTCTTATGTTT